TGGGTTTCAAGCATGTGACCTCATGGTGGCATGGTGCAAATGTGTCACCTATTCAAAAATGATTATTTTTTTATAATTAGTTTTACTTTTTATCAAAGATATTTTTCCTAATTATTTTTTTTAGTCCCTAAAATTTATATTACTTGATTTTAATCCCAAATAAAATTATTAAAGTTTCAATAATTATAATTAAACCCATATAATATTTGTTTTTTAATTCTTTCCAAGATCAGGTTATCCCATATATAAACCGATGGAGACAAAGTAACAACTTCATCTATACGAACATTCTTTGAAATAGACTTATCAAAAACAATTGATGTAGGATGGGTAGGAGAACTTTTGGGCTCATCAACATTAGAAAATTTCAACTCATCAGTTTGTGATTTTGGAGCTTATGGTGGTGAAACTAGAGGGTTGTGTCCAACCACATGTTGATTGAGAGTCGAAGAGATAAACTTGAAACCTCCAATTGTCTTAGTTTCACGAACTGTAGCTAGAATAGTGAATTGATGGATACTTGAATTGTATCTAACCTATCATTCAAGGCTTCTTGTGCACCAACACATTTTTGGAATAAAGCTAGTACTATAGTATTTAACTCACATTGGAGGCCATCTTAACTAGAAGAATATTTTGAGAAATTTCTGAAAGTTCTAGGGTCTATATGTAATTTCAAAACCTTTTGGGGCTAAACTATAATTTCAGAAACTTTTGGTGGGCCAAACTGTAATGTCTGAAACTTAGGGGTCAAATTGTAATTTTGTCAAGCTATTGGGCTGTGGAGCAGTGATTTTTGAAAATGTTGGGGGTTTAAAAAAGAAAACCTCCAGTCTCGTTGATGACGTGATGGCATCAAAAAGGATATGTCTGGGCCGGGCTTAATTCAAGCATAAATTTGATGGGTTGATTTTTGTTGGTTTTTGGGTCAGTTTAAAGGAAATATGGGTGAGATCTAATCCAAATTTTGAAAACCCAAAAAGTGGTTTTTTTCCTTGCAAAATTGAAAGACAACTGGTTCAAAACCTTTTAACCCTAGCACACAAGTCCAGCACTCCTTGTACAGGAACAGTTGACGATGACCAGTGATTATGAACAGTGACAAAACAGTTAACTATTTGGGTTATTTTTTCATGCAGACTACTTCTAATTTGGGAGAAACAAGAAGCTTGCTCTGATACTAAGAAAAAATCAGATAATAAAAGAAAAAGAGAAGAAGGGAAGGTTTACCTCATCCTCGCAAGGAATCAGTCAACAAACACACAAATCTCCGCAGAAAAAAATCAATTCATGTTCATAATCTCTCGACTGAAACCAGTAGGGATACATCAATATTTAAAGGCTAAATCTCTAACTTAAACAAAAATTATTTTCCTATCAAAATTCTAAAATAGTTTCATTATCAAACTCTTAAATTAAACTCCTACTAAAACTCTATAATAATTTCTTAGTTAAACAAATATTCTCTAACTAATAATAATAACACCAAAATAACTAACAAATTCCAATTCTTCAATTTAAGATTATTCAAACCCTTTTCAATCTCCATCAACATTTCATAAGTGAAGGAAATAAAAAACGGATCACACGAATGCACCCATTTTCCAATCCAACCCATCCTAAATCATCTATATGTTATCAAGTTGGTTGAATAGTCAGCCGAGATGCCAGTTGTGGAGTTAGTGCACTATTCTTGCACCAGGTGATCAAGCCCAAGATATAAGAAACAACAGGAATCAAAGCTAGCATTGAATTCTGCCTAGACACCATGTGGCTTGAAGCAGCTTTAGACAATGGAAAAAGAGGGCATCGTGCATGCTTTCCCACGCAAAACACTCGCACATGCGTACGTTCTCAAGTGTCTTAAACCTCTAAAAGCAGTTGTTCTTCCAACAATCAGTTGTTCAACCTTTGGTGTAAAGTGTATACTCAAGCAATCAATGCTTCAAGATATGCCATCTCCTACCTGGATTCACTAAACATCTCACACGAAACCTCAAATTCATCATTTCTTCAATACTAGCACCTGAAGAAAAGCCAAAATAACCGGGAATACGTTACCAAACTAGCTCATACATGACCCCCAGATCCATAAACTCAGGCCACAACCAGTATTCTCCACATTCCCTATGTTTGTATGCCCATCAAGCAACAAAGTTCGTGGCCATCCACAATCAGTCAAACCCAAGCACATTTATTCCGAATATATGACAGGTAAAGGCTATGCAACTTTCTCTCACTTTAAGCTCTCACACAAACAAAGAGATACACACAATATTGGCTAACCCCCAATCCAATGAATATAGGCAACCTTCTCTATGTTAGGTTTATCCATGTCCAAGCAAGAAGTCAAGAGAAATATGGGACCACTTAGCTTAGTCCTCACCAAAGATGTTTTAGCTCAAACCAAGTACATCTGAATCGAATCCAAGCAAAGGATGGGGGTCTCCCTCGTCAAGGAAAGATATAAGCAGTCAAGGAGAGTTTAAGTGGAGGTTGTTAAGCTCGGAGGAAAGAAAGGAACAAGAAGTGGAACACGAAGATCTTTTGGGGAGCCTTAGCCTTTTCTCTCTAGAAAACTAGAAAGAGGAGCTCCCCTACCCCTTCGTTCTGAAGACCCCCATTATTTCATTAGTCTGAGGGAGCACATTCTAATGTGGTGTACTTTTGAGAAGTAACAACATGCTTGAAAGCACATAATTACATTGACAGTAACACCCATACAAACCAAAAGTTGCAATTGTACATTTCCTTGTATCACCATAGTATTTTTTGAAATTCCACGTTACCAAAAAAAATCAATTTGTTATTCAGTTATTTGGAAAATTCAAAGATTAATCAAGATCCCATTTTCAATTTTAAATTTAAAAAAAGAAAAGCAGATTGAGATCTTGTTTGATAAATAAAAAAACCCCTATAGTGATGAGAAGAAATAATTCAGGTTATTTTTAAAGGCTTTTTATCACGTACTATAGTCTATTGATCGTCAATTACTATACATAATACAATATTGTAGTGCAGACGTCTGCATTGTTAGTAATAGTATTCATAAATTAGACAGTATTGCATGTGTTGTGCCTATCATCTGATCCTTATCTGAGACACTGAAACCAAGTTATCTTAAGGCTATTTGCAACAGTGTCCAATTTTGTCACTCTGAACCAAGTGCAGTAGCAGTCTGATATGACTGAGAAAGAAGGATTTCAACAGGCCATTTTGGTTCAAGTGGCACGGTTCACTTGTTACCTTGGCACAGCACAATGACCCTTATTATTTGTGACTCACTTGTTTTATTCACTCCTTTAGTACATTGCTAAGGCTTGTGGCATTTGTTGTTTGCGTAGTTAGGACTTGCTTGGGGTGATGTCAAGATCATAAGGGCTCCTTTTCATTGTTGGAGGGAGATGACACATTGACAAGATACTTTGGAAGGGTGGATTTATGGCCCGTCTTTGCTTAATAAGGAGTATTTGGAGGGAGTGTGATACAAAATTCTTTGACAGATTGAGCTTCCCCATTATGAGCTCAAGATTTTTATGTTAAATTTTCTCTTATTTTCTTTTAATAATGTATATCCAAGGCCTTTAATTTTTTTTATCATTTTTTTGGAATTGTTTTTCACAAGTTGGTTGTATACTTTCATTACAGTCCGGCCCTTTAAAATACCCCATGTATACATTGGTTGCACCCTTATTTCGGTGTTGTAAAGAGAGCTACTATCCCAAATCATATGATTAGGGCGTTATGAGACTCCTATATTTATTGTCAATGGATATAAAGTCAGATGCTCTAACATTGTATTAGAACAAGACCTTGGATGGTTAGTAAGGCAAGTCTATTACACATTTGGATTTTTCAGCATGCAAATTTGTCACTTTGTTAGCATGTATATCACACCGAATGATTAGGACTGCAAAATGTTAATTTATGTGGTTAAAGAAACTCTTCATGCACTGTCGATTAGTTCAGAGTTATAAGCTCTATGAAATGCTACATCCAAAAGTTTACTCACCACAAAAAGAGTGAATGCTTTAAACTCTTTTGAAAAGCGAAATGCTATGGAATAAATTTGGCAAACCTCTTAGGTTCAATTGCCAAAGAATCCTAGCTGCAATAGCCTATAAACTCTCAAGGGATGTGACACTTTCCCGTATGTTTGATAAAACCTACCATAAATTCCAATCCCTCCCTTGCACTAAACTTTTCAGTTTACTTTTGTGTGCGTACCAAACATCAACCCATTTATTTTCTCTTCTCGTTCATCTATTGCCAGGAGGCTGTTCAACATCAAACTCTTCGTCAAATGGGCATCATATTGGCAGATATGTACAATCCAATCCTTTCGTGACTAGTCTGCCAATCAAAAGGCCAGTCAGGATATGATTGTGACAAGATTCTTCCCGGTTCCTTTATAAAGGAGTTTAAGTTAGAAGTCCAGAGAGAAGAATGCTATCACTTTTAACGAGGTCTTTACTCCGAAGTGATAGGTTTTAAAACTTCCATATGTTTAATCATAGTTTCCTCAAATGATCTGAAGGAATTTCTAGGGAGACATCTCATTATATTCCACCAAGTGGGAAAAGCATGTATAATTCTTCTTCATGGCCTTCATTTTGCCAATTCCAATTTAAGAAACCTTTGGGTGCAGGGTCACTTTTCTAGAGAAGCTTCTTTGATTAAATGGTGGACCAAAGTTATTAGAGGCTCTGACATTAAAAATACATCTTGTCCTTCTCTGCATGGTTGAATGTCACTTTTTCATGCTAAAGGATTCTGAAAATATGCAGGCTGACTTTTGAGCAAAGCAATGTGCTGACTATAGAATTCTTTGGTACCAATGGGCCTTTGGTCCAATGGTATTCCTTATGTTTTGCCTTCTTGAGGTCAAGAGTTCAAACCCCCTCCCCCTCCCCCTCCCCCTCCACCCAAAAAAAAAAAAAAATTGAATTCTTTGGCAGTCCTTTGAACCCTCTAGCTTCGCACACCCTTGATCAACTATTAAATTCTCCCCACAATAAGCTAAAAACGTAGAAGGGCTCCCTTAGGCCCCTTACACTTTCCAAAGTATCCTTCCATATCAAATATACTACAGCCTATGCTTAGTCTTAGATGCAGTACGCTCCAATGTCAAATTCAAGCCAGTCATTTTAGTTTTGATTACAAAAATTCAAACCAGTCAAAACCCATGTAAGTTCATTGAAAATGAGAAGATACTAAAATGAAAACATTTTCTGCCACCAAATCCCTTAACTACAATGAGAATGAGAATGAGAATCATAAATAATGATTAGAATAGTAATAATAACAATATTAACAACAACAACAACAACAACAATAATAATAATGATGATAACGTTCACTCTTTTTACTTATCAAACGTATTAGGATGACTATATTCACAATTATACAAAGAAATGGATAATTAAATAAGCTATGCCCTCTGAATAAGCTTCAAAGTGATGTAAAAAATATTTTACCTTTAATTTGACTAAACGAGACTGCATTGAACCAGCAAATTGATCATGCTGTTCCACTAAGTCTGCAATAGCATCTTCATCGTTAACAGGCACTATTTCCTTTTCAGCAGAAAAGGGGTACCGCCTCTGTTTGTAGTACAAGTATTAAGGAGAAGAAGATATGTCAATTAATATAATGGACATTATTAAACAGAAACGGCTAAAAATTTAAGCATTTTACACATATCAGGTATTAGATGTAGATCGAAATAAACAAGAAACAGGTTTATAATAATCAAACATTATTGGCCGCTGCAGCATATGCTCTAATGGCCTTTATGTCCTGTTACAACATGTGCATCTGGCAAGTCTCTCGGCTCACAAGTAATTATTTCTCTTTTTTCCTTAAACTAAAACTAAAAACTCCAATCCAATGACTTACCATATTCGACAGACTCAAAAGATTTAAGCTCAGAGCTCAGATCCAAGTGAGGGGAAATCAAAAATCTAGTATTATTTGGCAGGATCTTTGCCTGGAAAAGTACACTATTATATTATTCGCATAACGCAGAGCGCTCTAACAAATTTGCATATCTAGTATGACTCTCCTATAATAGTTACAAATTTAGGTAGGAAAGCAAGGCAGGTCAAATCAAAAGTACTGCCGAAATCAGCTCCAAAAGGAGGTAATGCTTCAAAGCCCATATCACAACCAAATGCAATAAGCAAATCATGTAACAGGCTGAGATTTAAAATTCTTATGAGTACTCGAATCATGACTTAAATAATTGATTCTCATAATAAATTGACTGGTACTTCAAATATCATCCATTGCCAACAATACCAATCTCAAAACACTGGGCAACCTTAACAGCTCATTCCATAGGCCTAACACAAGGCCAAGGAGAAACAGAAAATAGGTAACGTCTCAATATTCTGCAATCGATATAATTACAGCCCCAGAATTATCCAAAGCTGTTATTTCTTACAAAAAAAATCATGCTAGCATACAATACAAACAGTGTGAGCCACCCATATTTCCAACCTAAAGCAAAATGTGCTACATGTGCTCCTCTTTAGGCAATATGTAATACCTACATTTAATATTTCTTTATGGGCCAGGCCCTTTACGTTAACATACACAGCAAAACCATTACTCACTGGAACAAGAGGCTGGGGCCATCAATCAATTTTCAAAGTTTCTGCGGTAAAACTCAGCTGTTATCATCTGCTTACAAGATAAATTTACTTACTTTTTAAGAAAAGGAAGCATTTTAAATTGAATAAGCAAAGAACTACATAAGGTGGAAGGATCAGACGAATCCTTTGTTGAATTTTAAGGTTTATGGATCAGGTCAGAACAGTAGGTATGGCCATGGATGATGGTCAAGTGCTACGGATGAACCAAAACGATCATATTGATCTGATCTCGTAGTTCTTGGCCTGTGAAAATGCGTTGTTAGGTACTCCATTTGATTTTCCCATTGAGCCAAAGTGATTTGAAAAGCCCATTTTTAATTTTATGGTATCTAACTAATATTGGAAAAAAGGGTTTTTCTTGCATATTATGATTTTTATTAGCCTCAAAAGACAGATTGATATTACAGACTGGTAGAATGTAGAGCCCACAAAAAAACGTAACATAGTCTCCCTGGTTTCAATGTAACATGTCTAAGGGCTTGCCCCAAGATGAACAATATAGTAGGCACAGAAGTTGCATCATCTCTGCTATCACAGCCACAAGTAAAAGAAAGATAACAGAAGGTACAACATACAACACTACATACCGCATCAGCTGGGAGAGTGCTAACAGTAGATACTGTCTCAGAGAGACTGATGGAAGCAAGACCCTCATGATAAGGAAATCTTTCCTTCTTCTCCCAGCTTGCAACAAGTGATCGTGTTCTTCCTAAATATTTGGTTCAGTACAATGAGTCAGTCTTCATTAGCTAGCTTACAAACAGCACCCAACAACATGAAGGGATATACCTCCATTTTGACCTTCGAGAGAACAAGCATCTCTGGTTGCATTTTGCACACAATCATCTGCAACAAAAAATTGAGGTTAACACTAATAACAATCTATCTAAAGCTACAGACACCTATCTCAATGAATTCAAAATAATATCCAAAGTAAATCTTGTAATACTTTAACTGCCATTAATCATACAATATGCTATTACGGGCCAAAAAAAAAAAGGGGTATGCTGGATCAAGTATGTGACACCTCATACATCTAAAAGTAAGAAGGAACATTCAATTCAGATTAAGGAGATTTATGTGACAAAGTACAGTTAATTCTAATTGGTGGTCAGATCAGAAATTCAATAGTTGCAAGTTAATTAATATGACCAGAACAATGAGGCTTAGATGGGAAAAGTAATGAAGATAAGCTATGTTTGATGATCTATAATAGAATAACAAATAACAACAGGCATAATACAATTCTTCCAATCCTAGAGAACATAAGCTCTATCTATTTTATTGCCTAAAACTGATCCGACAAGTAATATAATAAAGGAAAGGTTGAGCATAAGCTCACACTAAATCTTGACAAAGAATGATCCAAAAAGAATCACTAAACCAATGGAATGGAGAATAAGTACACTTCTGGAAAAATGGATACATACAATTTTCATGTGAAAAGCTGGCACGTGGCTCTGTCAATATGCTAATTTGAGGTTTTCCAGATACAATACACCTATCATCCCTTACATTCCTCTCAGCCACGGGTACAACTGAGCTCTTAACTGCTGGAAAATTTTTCCTATCTGCTACCCCACTCAATTCAGTGGCCTTAAACACCTCATTTTCAGACTCTGTGGATGTAATAGGTCTCTCCAAGTCATCCCTGATAGTTGAAAACTTTCTAAAATCAGATGGTTTTGTCTGCAAAGGTAATGATGGCATCATTCTTCCAGTAACTCCTCCGCCTTTTCTGGATTCACCTGCCTGCTCCAACCTTGCATTATTCCTGGGGACAATTACAGGTACCACGTCTGACGTGTTGAGAATTGATGCACTGGCTGTTGAATGAACCTTTGCAATATTCCTTTTTGGAGCTGTTGAACTAGGATTTGTGATTGAACTAACTGGGGATGTCTTCAGACCAATACTTAAATTTATCCTTTGAGGAGTACCAGGTGCACTCCCTGTGGCTTTATCCACTGGATGAATTAAGATTATTGAACAAATATCAAAGTTGAACTAGGAAAAAGATTGTGGAATGAGCAATTGAAGGAAAACAAAGAGTAAAAAGATTAAAAAAAGATGGACACCAAAAAAGGTCAATAATAGATCACTAATAAGGAAGCAAACTATACAAAGAATATACCTCCAAAAGATTTAGACTCTTTGTTTACAGGATCTTGGTTTTGTGATACTGAAAGCCTCCCCAGAGATTTTGTTTCCTTCACTTTATCTGAATTTTGCGAAACAGACAGCCTGCCCAAACTTGCCTTTGCAGTGTTTTCAGTCAGTACAGATAAATTCCCACTTGGATTAGATTTTGGTTCTGGATGACCGTTCTGTCGAGTAGTATTGCACAATAAATATGGTTCAATACGCTGCAAGGTGTGTCAGGTCACAAAACATACATCACCTTGAAATTCAGAAAAGAAACAAAGCAGTCATCATGAACAGCTTATTGTGGAGTAAAGCTGATTTATACCGAGATATCTACGACCCATACACCAACACAACTTTGATTATAAGAACAACCAAGAAGCTTCCCCTCATGAATATTAAGATCTGACAATCTAGACCATCCCACATCAACTGTATCATGACATCTGATTGGTTCCCATGAGAAAACCTATAAAATAGCATTCAAACTTGTGTAAAAGTTGATATAGCACGCAACACCTTTGTTTTGATTAATCATGTGTACCCAAGCAGCAGACAAGAAGAAAAGCCTACCTTCAGACTTTCATGCAAACCACAAAGAATGGTTCTTCCATCAGGATTAAAGGTCATACAACGCACCCCCGTGGTCTGGATTTAAGACATGATCCGCCCATTATTTACAAGGAAACAATATACTATAAACTAGAAGACTTTGTATCAAAGTAAGAGAAGCCAAATAACAATGTATACCAAAAAGACAAAAACAAATATTCACCTCAGGACCAGCTGAACCTATAAGCTCAAAAGTTTCTAGGTCCCAGAATTTAACAGTTTTATCAGCCGAACCTGTGAAATGCCAAGACTAAAGTTCAAGCAATAATGAGGATGACAATGATGATTGTAGAAAAACAAGAAAGAAAACATGGACAATGCAGTACAGGTTTGTGACCAAGCAGGCTCCACCAGAATACCCAAATCATTGAAGGATAATGTGACGCCCAAAATCTAGGGGTCATTTCTCAACCCGTTGATCATCCATTAACCTGCGAAAATACCTGTGAGTACCGTATAACCCGATACCACGTCATTACACCCCATTCACCGAAATCATAACCAAAACATAGTTTGGACAGAGTCTTCTTTATACCGAAGCACTACCCAACATATAACCTATAAACATTAACCACATGACCATTTCAAGGTCCAAATCTCAATACTTAGGTCTTATTATTCTCCATTTATATCATCCAAGAAGAGTGTTCAAGATGTGAAGGCTCAGCCATGTTATATTTCAATTTTTTAAGTTTTGAGAAGAGGTACCTCGTGTAAGTGGTACCTTCACATCTTGAAGGCTCTTCTTGATGATATAAAGAGAAAATAATAAGACATAATTATTGGGGTTTGGACCTTGAAATGGTCATGAGATTAATATGTGTATAGGTTATGTGTTGGGTACTGTTCCGGTACAAAGGAGACTCTGTCCAAACTATGTTTTAGTTATGATCCCGGTAAATGGGGTGTAACGACGTTGTATCGGATTATACGGTACTCAAGTGTATTTTCGTAGGTTGATGGGTGATCAACGGGTTGAGAAAAGACTCCCAAATTTCGAGGCGTCACAACTTGGTACCGAGGTACCACTACATCTTCCCAAAACTTGAAAATTTGAAATGTAACATGTTCAAGCCTTCACATATTGAACGCTCTTCTTGGATGATGTAAATGGAGAATAATAAGACCTAATTATTAGAATTTGGACATTAAAATAGTCATGTGGTTAATATGTGTATAGGTTATGTGTTGGATAGTGCTCCGGTACAAAGGAGACTTTACCCAAATTATGTTTTGGTTATGATCCCGTGAATGGGGTGTAACAACGTGATATCGGATTATACGATACTCACAAGTATTTATGCGGGTTGATGGGTGATCAACGGGTTGAGAAAGGACCTCCGGAGTTTGGGGCATCACAGATAAATAATCAATGATAAATAAATTCAGGAAAAATTGTCTGTAGTGGCTATCTGAGCCATTAATTTTGAGCACAAAGAGATCCAATATTTTTTCACAGAATGGAAATTTGAGGTTATGCAAGCTCAATTGGTCACAATTTTGTTACTTCCAATAATTGTTTAAGATAAGTTTAGACTGGGTAGGAGTTTTAAATGGTATTTTATTCTATGGAGCTCCTAGATCTTTTGAGTTGTTATTTGACTTGGGTTGGCATCTTCTCTTGATGCTATCTACAATATTGACTGAAGATATTTCCAACGGTTAGCACACACCTTTAAAGAAATCTAGAGACATACAAATAGGGCCCATTGTTTTATTGGTTCAAGGATAGTTAGGCAATTAGAAACAACACTCCCAAAAACTATGGGATGGAATAAGTATAATAGAACCAGAAAGAACAGAATTAGGGACGAATATGTCCGTAAAACCGCATACGTATTACCAATAAGTGATAAATTAAGCAAAAAACAATTTGGGTGGTTTGGACATGCTTATAAAAAATCTATCACTTTATTAGTGAGAAAGAGTTAACTTCGAATGAGATATTAAAAAGGATGTGATAGGTTCCGGATAAACAGAATATATAAACCTTGATTGAGCACAATGCCAGAACAAGTTACATGTAATTGACCGCCAATAATAGGGACAATACTGAATTGAATTGAGTTTATTAGTAGTTAGTATGAAAGACAATTTTTACAGTTGTGTCATTCATAGTCATTTTGCTGCCACCTTTCCATATTCAACATAGAGTTTCATAATGTATACAAAACTTAAACTTAATAACCCAAAAAATGAAATGAAAATTCGCCATTATTGCTTACATTAGAATAAGTTAGAGCTAAAAAAACCAACATGAAAGGAATTTGATGCATTAATATCAAACCAACATGAGAAGGATTACAACTTTTGATAAATTACGTTTGAAATCTAAGAATGTAATTCCCACCAAGGACATGGATTTGATTCATTTGAACTTGCTTGTTGATATGCGAAAAATGTTGCATCATATTCATACCAAAAGTTTCTCTAACCTGTCGCCAGCAAAAACTCATGTGGATGAAAATCTATGCACTGAACCTGGCCCTCGTGAAACTTAAAATCATGCAACAGCTTTCCCGCAGTTAGATCCCAGAGCTGTCACAATATCGTTATAACAATAAGGACTACAAACACACTTGCAGACTAAGCAATGAAAAGATAAATATATATGTTATGACTCAAGGTAGGGATGGCAATGGACCGAAGCGGAGGCGGAGGGTGTAGTCTCTATCCCTGTACCCGCTTAAAAAAAACTTCGTCCATCCCCGGTCCACCCCTGTTAACGGATATAATTTTCATCTCCATCCCCAACTGCGGGTAAATTTGTAATCCCTGCCCCAGTCCACTTTGCCCACCCCAGAGCCTGAGCCTGAGCCTGAGTCTAAGCCAACATAATCCAAAATTCTAAATAAATCTAACATTCTAAATAATCCAACATAATTATAAAATATCATAACATAATTAAAAACTTGTCGGCTACAAGATAGTCCAGAATAATATAATTAAAAGTTTGTCTCCCATGTAAATCTAACACAACATCATGCAACACAACATAATGTAACATAATATAATCAACATAAAAACACAAAGATCTACATTTTTACAACCAAAAACATTAAAAAAAATCAAAAAAAAATAATTTCCAAAAAAAAAATATTCAATAATATAGAGATTTGTATTCACAGCAACATGTATATACATATATAAAATAATAATAATAATAATAAGTAAAGCGAGGGCGTGGTGGAAGTAAGTGTTAGTCCATCCCCGTCCGGGTTTATACGGATATCTCCGTATACATCCACTGTCTAATATGTATGGTTCATCCCCAGTCCAAACAGGACAGGTTTGGACGAATACCCATTTTTGTCCGATCCCCTGTCATCCCTAACTCTAGGTAATTAGTGTAGAAGCTATAGAAAAAAGCTTTGCACAAGATGTGTCACTTGCAGACTAAGGTGTTGAAATAGCGAATTATGTATGATACTTCATGAGTTTTATTTCAACCTGACCAAAAGGTTTCAATATATGACAAAAAGAAACCACCAACAAAATCATGCTTTTTTACAACAATAACAATAATTGTACCATGCATTACCAAACGGACGTTATGCAATGATAACTGAAATCGGAGGTGTGAAATTTTCTTGTAGACAATAACCCCTTGAAAATTATAAATATACACCTTTCAAATCTAAAATCATATAACCATTTTCAAATGTAAGAACGTGACTCATCCAATTGATTACATGAACCATTTGGTCGCATCATTTTTTAATACACTAAGGGTTGGTTTGGTCGTCGTATAATAAAAGGAAGGATTATATTAGTTAATATGGTTTAATTATGTATACACGGATAAAACACAAGATTAAACATACGATAAAGTTAATACTTTTTATAATCCAATGTTTGGTAAGACGATAAGGGTGGGATAATAGAATCTTAATTACATATTGGCTAAAATATCATCAATCTTATCTAAGTTGCGTTTGGTAATTCATTGTTTTAGTTTTTTTTCTGTTTTTGTTTTCAATTTTTGTCAACAATAAAAATGTGTTTGTGTTTTTGTTTTTTCTCATTCAAACTTTTGCACATGTTTTTCAAAATCAATTTCATTCCACATTCATATATTCCTATGTATTGCATATGTGCATCCATTCAAGCAACCATTTACTACTACAAACATCACCTTTGACAGTTTAGAGTGGAAAGATCTGAATTGGTACAATGACCCGTGCCATTGTTACTTCCCAAAGATGTGTCTTAGTCATCCAAATATTTTCAAGTAGGGTCCATGTATGTCCAGAAATGTGCATGTCTTGATATCAAAGGCTTAGCGCTTAGGTGATGTTTCTGGCATGCAATTGCTACCATCTTGTGACAATTTGGGGATTTATTAGGATCTAAATCCATCATGGCCAACGGCCAGATGTGATTTTATTTCTTCTCATAAGTCGCCCCATAACAGAGATGGTAGCCATTATTTTAAACCTTGAACAAGATGCTAGCCATTGAATGACTTAGTATACAACAAGGAAAGAAGGATTCAGTGCCCTCAACACAAAAACTACTATGACGAGGTGACCCCATCCCTGACATACCCTCAGCTCCATTGTTAATCACATTAGAAAACTTTGCCACGCCACATAAGCAAAGTGCTGACTGACCACCATATGCTGTATGAATTTAGAAGAAAACCAATTCTAACCTTTACACTGTTATCCTCTCCACCAGATACAACCCAACGGCCATCTGGTGTAAATCTAACAGCATTGACTCCTCGAGTGTGACCTTTGTATGTGTGGATACACCCTTTTCGTCTGATATCCCATATTTTTAGATTTGTATCCAGCGATCCAGATGCAAAGAACTCTCCAAAGGGATGGAAGTCCAACGATATGCAGTTGGATCGATGACCCGTGAGGGTGCGAACTACTACAAAAAGAATCAAATTGCAATGAAAGAATTTCCTTTACATGATAGCCCACAGAATATAATTCACGCATTCAATGAAATATGAAAAAGCATACTCTTTGCCTCCTCCAAATCCCAAAGCTTGATTGTACCACTTGCTGCTCCTGCAGCTACCAACACTTCTGAAGAATCAAAGCTGACTGAATCAATTCCACTTGAATGGCCAGACAAACTCTGCACAAGGAGCCACAGGTAACAGATCAAACAAATAAGTTATACGGTCACCATTTACTAGAAAGATCCTTGTTTATCTTTAAAGGAATCAATGTCGATAACTATGCAAATTGATTTTGACATGAGTTGAGAAAATTTTTAAGCAAAATTTGGAATAAAAGGCTAATGTTATCATAGTAACTAACAGATTTTTATCATCTCTGGGATCATGAATAATTGTTAAGGCTATGGCATGACCATACTTAAAGGAATTATTATAGATTTGTCTCAAAAACATGAACTCACAAAAAGGAGTTCGAATAATGAATTGCGTAAGTGCTGAAGATGCACATCCACAAGTTTGAAATTGTGAAGCACCAAAAAGAAAAGAGAGCACATAAAATAAAAATGAATTTAATTGTAATGAAGAACAGATAGAGAACAGGGAATTGACCAGGATAGCATTTGGTTTGCCGATGGCCCACAAATTAACCTTGTGATCTTCTCCGCCAGTGACAAGAACCCTCGATGACTTCCTGCCAATCTTGAGACAATTGACACTGGAAGCATGAGCGACAAATTCCTCTATCAGAATTTGTGGTCAAGGGTAAATACACATTATCGTTCTTGTTCACTTCTCAGTAGCTGAAATTTATGCATTTCTCCTCCAGTCCATTAGGACTGCTAACATATTAAACAAAAAAACAATTTACAGCTACTTGTTTCTGATCCGATCAATCTATCAAGCACAGCACACGAGATCTGCATAAGAAACTGATCAATATGCCTTAATTTTTTCCTCACCAGTGCAGCCGTGCCAGTAAAACCCCACGCAATTGGAAGTGTAAGGCATTGAATTGCTCTTCATTTCTAGTTTTAAATTGTTTTATTTTTCTTCGAGAAACAATGCAGATTCACAAAAACAAATAGAAACAAGAAAAAGAAAAGGATACGTAGCTTATAAGCACGTTTGGTGGTCGTCATCAAGAACTCGAAATTCCTGCGCCGGGTAACAACAGAAATGGAAATGGCTGCGGCGAAACCCTAGCAGAAGCACTAGCACTGGTAGTTCCGTCTTCGAATCTGGTCTCATCATACTAGAAGAATAAACAAATCCGAGAATGGGATGTTCCAGATCTCGATAAACCTTGGCATTTCTTTCGAGTTCGGATGCACTTGAGAGTTTTCTTTCAAAAGCCGTTTTTGCCGCTGTTGGAGCATATACAAGAACTTGAACTTTTTCTATTAATGGCGACTGAGACGGTCATGAATTCGTGCTCCAACTATCAACTGTTGAAAAAGCTTCGTTTCCTTGTTTGTTTTCAGCAACAACGCATTTCCTATATTGATCGCACGCTCAATCACCAGAACAACGCCCAAACCAAAGGCACTAACTCAATGAAGAGAGAGAGAGAGAGAGAGAGAGAGAGAGGAGGTTGGGATGAGGGCCACGGAGGAAGAGGGGGAGCTTTCAAGATCCCTCACTCATCATAGGATGCAACAATAATAGCTATGTTCAATCTTAAAATTAAAGAAATATTTTGAATTCCGCCCTGCAAACCACCCTCCCTCCTTAAAAAGGCAGATCAAAACGTTTTTATATTTTTCTTTTGTTAAAATCTTTTTCGGCACTCGAGAGGGAAATTAACTCAAACCAAAGCAAATTGATCTTATATCCACCACGTTCACTTATCATTAGTTCTGCTCGCCTTTCTGGTATTTCCCCATTTGTTTTATCCAAATGGCTACTGCTACTCTTTTTAATAAGCTAAGGGATAATAATACTTGCTATAAAGATGTTGCTCACTTCTAATGCCTTAGTCCCTCCATACCAATTTGAGTTTCTACCTTTCCTTTTTGATTGGTCCCAAAATATCTTTCGGACTTAACAAAGAAAAGAAAAAAAAATTCTTTTTTTGTTATATTTCCGTGATATTCTTTATAATGTTGGATCAAAAATACTATAATTACAATGTACCAAGTCATATTTGATTCCACAACTAAAAAAATTATGTAGATGATGGGACACTCCTAAGGAAGAATAAGAATCTGCCACGTGTCATCGGGACCGGGGACACTCAAGCAATCTCTGATAAAGTCACGTGTCCTCGAAATCGAGAACACTCAAAAAGCAAACTCTAATATAGCACGTGTCTTCGGCACCGAGGATACCCAAGCTCTCCGACGAAGCCAAGTGTCCTCGACACCGAGAACGCATCAAAGCTCTGTGTTGTTAACACATGTCCTCAGCACGATTGGGCCCAAGGACAACTCTTTGGAAGGTCATTGACAGTGGCAGTCCATCAATCTCAAAGACAGGCTATGAATCATCGGTTTGCCTTTCCCTATGAGATCAGAATGACAGAATAAACAAGACACACTCGACTAAGGGGAGTTAGACACGTGGCATAAAAGTGCATGATGAGGGGTAAATAGACAAAAATACCACTGTGACATGCGGCAATTCCAGGCAAGTATTTAATAAACCCTCAGTTGATGGGACATCCACGATGGCTTGGAAAGCAGAGAAGAATGAGTATTAAATGTTCTAGGACCTGAGCATTTAATACCTCTACACTAAAGAAAGAGCATTAAATGCTTGGGAGACCGAGCAATTAATAACGGGGACTCCTCCTTGCACAAAGGGAAGTGCATTGTCTAATGACTGGACCCTATCTAATGTCTCATCTACTAGTAATGAGGAGCCCACGGAAGGTATAAATAGCTCTCTAAAACTCAAAACAGAGGTAAGCAAATTCACTTCTCAAGAACACCAAATAGTATTTTCTTCTTCCCCTCTCTCAAAGAACTGACTTGATCGTCAGAAGGGATACGCCAAAAAACACTCTGGCGCCCTTCTAACCCGTTTTCTGTGTGCTAGGAACCGTCTACGACCGACCGAAAATGATCGAATAGCCCCTGAAGCAATTCATCACCACTCTTGAGGCCCCTTAAACCATCTTGGTTCTTCCTTTACCACACAGGATTGTCGACTTTCGAGACAAACACGAGTTCACTAAGGAGAGAAATCTATCTTTTTCATCTATTGTGCAAAAGTCGTCACACACAATCTGGCACCGTCTATGAGAAAACAACCAAACTTCCTGAAAAATAGTGACCATGGTGAATACTCGTCAAAAAAGAAAGGGTCCTCAGCAAAGGAATATTGATTTATCGGCCCCCTCCATTTCAAAAATGAGGGATCGCAGTGAAAGTGTCAACAAGGAACTTTCCATTCATTCTAGGGAGCAAACCCGCCAAACTAGTATGGGTATCGGGTCTAGAAGATCAACCCCGTTGGCACGACAACTTGCTGAAGTGATTGAGGATCGATTACGACAGTTAGAAGAAGACAATGTGAACGTCCTAAATTGACTTGAAGAGTTTACACTCTCCCACGGGGGATCTCGAGACTTAAAACAGTCGCGAGAGCCCTTTGTCAGGGAAGTGGGAGCTCAGGATTTGAGGAACTGTCTAATTGGCGGAGCGGGAAGCTCCAAGGCTCTGAAGCTAAGAGGACTAGACCATTGCCTTGGAATGACCTCCGTCAAAGGTTGTCTAGGCGAGGGGGCGTCGAAGGGGGGTCAACCTTCTCCGTACGAAACCTTGGAGCTAGGGGTACACCGAACGACACCGAGATAATGGAGAGATGTGTCCCTAGTAGAGGGGAGACCTCAGAATGCGGTGGGACTCTACAAGAAAGGATAGGGCCACACCAAAAAATGACACGGATGATGAGGTTATTCAGTCGCCCCTCACCAAGAGTATCGTGGATACGGAAGAACTAAAAAAGTTTGCGGTACCAAAGTTCAAAGTTTATGACAGACGATCGGACCCTAAAGCTCATCTCAGACAATATAAGCAATGATATCTTTGTACCACTTAGACTGCTGACTACTATGCCTAGTGTTCTCAATGAGCCTGGGAGACTCCGCTATGAAATGGTTTGAAACCCTTCCACCCAATAGCATAGGGTCTTGGAAGAAACTAACTAGTCAAATTACACTCAAAACTAACCAGTCAATAGGGTCTCTCCCTGATGTGCTTGCCTCAGCGTTAGCAGTGGTCGAGGGGCCTCTGATTTCAACAACTTCATCGTCGCCTCTTTCCTCGGGTGCTTCGTCTTCAACAACCCCTTCTACCTTGGCTTCTGTGGCCTTATCGGGGTCGTTCTCTAAGCTCTCCCGCTCAAACTCTGTCTCCACCGACGGATCAAAGTTATGTGGAGTTTGGTTGAATTTCTTGTATTCCGAGACGTAGTCGAGGAGGAGATGTGCTTCTCGGCCAAGGACCCTATTTCCCAAACAGTTCCAAACGAAGATGATGTCGTCGATGTTGACTTGGTTCCGAGGAAAAATGACTATTTCGGCGTCAAGGATTCCTGGGATGACAACATCACAATTTTCAATTACAAAGTGTTGTGACATATAAGTGAAGAAACCAAAACGAAGAATGAGAGAGAAGGGCCGACGCACTCGTAGTCCTCCACTACTTGGGGCATCACAAGTCAGTAGCATACTCAAGACCGAGTCCCCTCTCCCATTGACCGTCGAAGATAAGGAAGTCATCTTTGTACCCCTTGTCAGAATCCAGAAGATGGGTGACAAGGTACATTGTGGGGTCTCGAGCCTTAAGGTAATCCATTTGCTGAGGCATGCCCCTTACCAATGCGTACTATAAGAGAATGTCATCCAGACCAAGGTGCAGGTTTAAGCGCTTGTTCAAGGCAACCACCCTCATGATGATCCTGAACATGTTAAGACAACATTGCCCTGGGAAGAGTTGGAACTGAGACAAGAAACGACGGAGGCGGGGGTGAAAAGGAAATCTGAGGCCCCCTTCCATAACGGCCTTTGTGTAGAAGGGCATCTCAGCCTCGATGCCGATAGTGGAATTGTGATGACCGACCTTAAACTCATCTACGGTCACCTCGGGAGGGATGGAGTAATAGGCCCTAAAGTTGACTATCTATTGCTTTCCCTTGACGGTGTACTTTCAGGGCCAAGAGAGCCCAACCTCGTCGGCCTCAACAACCTTACTTGGATGACATCTTGGCATATCTTAGGAGGAAAGAGGAGGTCCTATTGGGGTGTTCTCTCAGATTGTCGGACCTAAGGGATACCACTAAAAATGAAATGACGCGAGGGAATGTGAAAAGACCACACTACCCTATGGAAACTGGGGAAAGAGAAGGTGGAAGACGATGGATCGTCGGATAAACAGAGAAAAAGGAGAGAAGTTAAAAGAGAAGAAATGGGATGAGCGAACTCACCAAGTCTCAAAAAATGTAGAGGCAGCAATCAAGGGCCTTTGTCTTCAAGAAATGGCAAGGAAAGCGGCAGCAAAATAGGTGGTTGGAGATGGCTTTGACGAAACTCCAGCTTGTTTCTGGTTTTTGAAGTTAACAGAGGTTTCGAAAGTAAAGAAGTGGGGCCTGAGACCTGTTTATATAGGGTCTGTCCCCATTATTGCGCACAAGACATGAAGATGGGTGCATTTAATGCACACGACTCCCGAAGGTGGGATTGCGGTTGCACATGACAGAGTGGTTAAACCCTTTCGCCTTCTGACGACACGTCTCCTATGCCATCGAAGGACAAGGGCTGGGGGCAAATTGATGGGACACTCCTGAGAAAGGATAAGAATTTGCCATGTGTCCTCGGGACCGTGGACACTCAAGCAAGCTCTGATAAAGCCATGTGTCCTTGAGATCGAGGAAACTTAAAAAGCAAGCTCTGATACAGCACGTGTCCTCGGCACTAAGGATACCCAAGTTCTCCGACTAAGTCAGGTGTCCTCAGCACCGAGGATGCATCAAAGCTCTGTGTTGTTGACACATGTCCTCAGCACGATTGGCCCCCAAGGACACGGTGGGACACATTACCTCGGCTCTTGGGAAGGTCATTGACAGTGGCAGCCCATCAATCTCAAAGACATGCTATGAATCATTGGTTTGCCTTCCCCTATGAGGTCAGAATGGCAGAATGAACAAGATACTAGACCAAGGGGAGTTAGACATGTGGCATAAAAGTGCAGGATGAGGGGTAAATAGACAAAAATACCCTTGCGATATATGACAATCCCAGACAAGTATTTAATAAACCCTCAGTTGATGGGACATCCACGATGGTTTAGGAAGCCGAGAAGAAGGAGCATTAAATGCTCCAGGACCCGAGCAGTTAATACCTCTACACTAAAGGAAGAGCATTAAATGCTCGGGAGACCAAGCAATTAATAACAGGGACTCCCCTTTGCAAAAAGGGAAGCGCACTGTCCAATGACTGGACCCTATCTACTGTCTCATCTACTAGTAATAATGAGCCCATGGAAAGTATAAATAGCTTTCTAAAACTCAAAACAGAGGTACGCAAATTCACTTCTCAAGAACACCAAACAATATTTTTATCTTCCCCTTTCTTAAAGAATTGACTTGAATGTCGAAGGAGATATGCCAGAAAACGCTCTAGTACCCTTCTAACTCATTTTCTGTGTGCCAGGAACCGTCTACGATCTGTCGGAATCGATCGGACAGTCCCTGAAACAATTTATCACCACTTCTTTGGCCTCTTAAGCCATCTTGGTTCTTCCTTTTCCACGGGATCGTTGACTTTTGAGACAAACACGAGTTCACCAAGGGAGATATCTATTTTTTTCATCTATTGTGCAAAAGTCACCGCGCATAGGAGACAATGAATTAAGTGTATGTTAAAACATTGTCTTTCTTCATACTAAGAAAACGTTTGAATTGTTAATTGAATTCCCCGAATCATATTGTAACAAAGTTTGTAGTTTGGGTTATGAGTCGTCAAGTCCAATGGTCATGATGTATACAAGAGTCAAAGACCAAAAGCTGAATTTAAAAGAAACAAGTTGAAGTTGTATTGTTACGTTCAAGTTATATCCTTTCTATCAGACTATTTAGGTTAGATAAGTGACTTAGAGATCTAGTGTGCTTAGTATGGTCTGAAATTTAGGGTAAAATTGGACTTAGAACTACAATTTTGATATTTGTAGCATGACTTTTGTGTTTGATCTTAGAAAAATCTATCTATCTATATATATATATATACTAGTCATAACCCGTGCCTGAAGGCAGGATAAAATAAAAAATTTGAGCGTCCAAAAAATCGATCCCACTATATTAAATTTTTTAAAAATATATTAACTACAAATTAATCAAATATTAAATGATTAAATATATGATAGAAATGAGTAATGTAATGTTTTTAAGGAGAAAATATATAAATGATTAAACATGTGATAGAAATAAGTTATGCGATTTAACGTTTGAATCTGACAAAGGGATGATGAGTTAGGCAAGTAATTGATGATGATTTTGAGGAGAAAAATATAACTGAGATAAAATTCAAACTCACTTATGTTTTATTATATAGATATATATCAACATCTGTAAAAAAATTTTGATTTCCTATTTCACCCCTAATTATTTACCTTAAAGGCAATTATGCCCACAAAATATTAGCTAGATAAACTTTATATGCATGATAAACTTTATAACTAATATTCCAAAATTTTTGCTAGATAAACTTTATAACCATATATTAGCTAGATAAATTTTATTTCTATGACTTCTAAAATTTTTGTTAAATAAATTTTATCACTATGACTTGCCAGTACATTTTTTTTTTCATTCAATTCGGCAAACTCAACTAGAATTGTAATACCATGGGAAAAAAATTTCTATTTTTTAGATGATAAAAACAATCATCGAACATTCATTATTCGTTGATATATATTAAAATATATACTACTTTAAAATGTTAGCAAAAGTGAAAAAAATTTGTTTGACTATTTTGCCCTTGATTTCTATTATAAAGTCAATCATATCTTCTTATTTTTTTTTTCATTTTCTTCAATTAATTATGTAATCTTCTCATATTCGTTCATCTTCTTAAATTAATTATGTGAATAATTTTTACTTTTATTATATTTATTTGAGCTTTAATAATTAATTTTAACCTCTAATTTCTATTTTTCTTACTAATCTTATCTTTATATATACAACTAATATAGTTCATACTACTAATAAAAGTATACTAATCAAAATATTTTTTTAAAATTTTATCCCTATTAATTTTGTGAAGTTTATTTGATAATTTTTTTAAATTTGTAAGAATTATCTATACGACTTTTAAATATTAAATATCAACATGCATGAAAAACTTTTAAATTCATATATTGTCCTTGAAAAAAATACATAAGGACAACATTACCTATCTTTTAATAATTCCATTTATATTATTTATGACAAATTAACATCCTCTCACTTTTTTGTGTCCCCACTAAATCACCCCACTTATAGAAATTAGAGATATATATCTTTTCATATCCCCAAGTAAATAACCTCATCAAGAAAAAAATAAAGAGACTTAGGGACAAGCTTCTATTTTATCATATTAACATTTAGTCCAAACTACTAGCTAGAATAATTCTTGTGCAGAAAAATGGGGTAGAAAAGACCAATAGGCTCAAAGTCACGTCTTTCTATACTACTTTAAAATATCACTATACCCTGTTTTATATTCAAGAGGTGGTAGCTCGGCTTTCGGTAGGTCCTGACTCCTATGAAATGAGACACAAAGGAAATTGAGAGGTCTTTGAAAGAAAAGATGGATGTGAGGGGCAACCTGTTGAACCATGCCAAAGCTGAGCCCTTCAGCGTGATGGTGAAGTCTCAGCATCGTACAGGGTTCTGATACCCATGTAGCTCCATCTGGTTTTTATAGGTGTTAAGGTAGTCTATGAGATCTCTAGTCCAATCGAAGGCCTCCATTTGGGGCATCTTGAGTTTTGAGGGAAGGGGGAAATGTAGCACCCAGCGGCAAATGGGGACTCAGTTTGTTGTACCAACGCATCCATTATTATGGGGGTCTTTCCCCTTATAGCTTTCTTCATATGACTGAGCTCTTGCTAGATGTCCCTAAAGCGCTGCTCCCAATATTGTTCTCTTTTTTCTTGCTAAATAGGGAGAAAATCATTTTTCTCGATTCCTTCGTTCTGACTTTGCCCTTCTTCATTTTCACCATTCCTAGGAGGCAAAGGAGGGGCGTGACTATCCTTACCCCATTCATTGACTTTTTTGAGGGGGTCGAGGTGCCGATTCTCCCCCTGTGGGGCTCTCCTTGGGCTAGTATGGTCTGCTAAGGACCTTGTAGGAGCTTCAAGAGCTCTTCGTTTTGCCGCAGCAGACGCTAGTTCACTAGGCGAAGAATCTCCAATTCATTATTCATAGGGGGATCAATCACTAGAGGATTGATTTCAGCAGCAGGGAAGAAATCTTGAAGGTTTTCATGTTGCCCACCATTTGTGGCTTCTTGTTGACTTTGGATCCTCGAGGGATTCATCTAATTTATGCTCATGTTGCATGTTGAGACCATTAATCACTGAAGAATCAGTATATTTGTAACAGGAACAATCGTTCCCACAGACGGCGCCAAACTGATGGTGTTTTAAACGTGGAGAGTAGAATAAGGTGTGTGTGAACAAGGTCTCGTCTAAACTACTAGGCTTTTGGAAACTAAGATATGATACTTTTTGAATAGGGAATGGATCGCACAGTAAAATTATAGTGGTTCACCAGCTCGAGAGCTTGACTACTCCACTTTTCAATGGAGTCCCTTGCTCCTTGGATCTATATTAATGGCTCGCCAAATTTACACAATGTTTCTAGTGCAATGAGGGTCACTCTCCCTTCATTGAAGGTGTTGTACAATATTTATAGTCTAACCCCTATCTCTATAGGATCTTCGACAAGATCTTCAGCGGGATCTCCCTTAATTCTGGGAGAGGATCTGTGCTAGTTGAGAGTTTGGTGCCTTGATTATAGCTCTTTGTCATTTCAGGGTTGCCTTTCGTTGTCCAATTGTCTCCCTGACATTTCCTTCTTCTCTTCATCTTAGAGGGGCTCGAGGTCGGGGCCACTGAGCTCTGGGCATCCTATCCGAGTTTCTTATCTGAACTCACCTCCCGAGCTCATAGTTAGGAAAAATTCTTCTCAGGTATCTTCAGAGAACAAAAAATAGTTTTCAAAAATCAAACCAAACAGGCCCTAGACTTCTCTTTTTTGTATGATAACAATCTAATTAGTCTTTATATGTTGTCCGTTCTTTATGTTTTTAATTTTATTTCCATGTGCCTTTGGATACCAACATTATACATTAATTAATTCCAACAAAAATACGATGTGTTGCAATTATGAGAAGAAATTGGATTGCAATATTCTGAATGATGAAAATTTTGCCCGTTACTGGACTATAAATACCTGAGCATCAAAAGAATCAAAGTCAAGCCACTTGTTTGTTTTGTATTTTTTATTTTTCCTCTAGCCCCTTGTTTCTATATATTTCATGAACTTGAAAATTTGCACGTTTACAGCTCAACAGAAAGTTCTCTAACTTGTGGCTTCGAAATTGTTGACTCGGATCCTCCCTGTAATGTTTAATGCATCACTGTTATACAGAAGCGCTAAACTGAATCATACTTTTATTACTTTTCTTGATAAATGCAAATCAGTTTCAGAGCTCAAGCAAATCCATGCACTGGCAATAGCCTTGGGCCATTCTCAAAAGGACTCGTTTGCATCAAGAGTTCTTTCTTTCACAGCAACCTCCGGTTTCTGTGATGTTGACTATGCTTATCGGGTTTTTCTTCAACTTTCAAATCCCACAACCTTTAATTGGAATACTATCATAAGGGTTTTCTCAATAAGCAAAAACCCAAATAAAGCCATCTCAGTTTTTCTTGAGATGTTGCGAAATGGGGTTGAATATGACCATCTAACATTTCCTTTTGTTGTCAAGGCTTCAGCTCGGTTTTCGAAGCTCCGGCTTGGCGTATCAATTCATGGCTTGATTTTGAAAACTGGGTATGAGTCTGATAGGTTTATTGCGAATTCTTTGATTCATATGTATGGTTCTTGTGGGGATATTGTGTGTGCACGTAAATTGTTTGATGCAATGCGAACGAGGAATTCGGTTTCTTGGAATGCTATGTTGGATGGGTATTGTAAGAGTGGGGACATTAGTTTGGGGAGGGAAGTGTTTGATTTGATGCCAGAGAGAGATGTCGTGTCATGGAGTTCTTTGATTGATGGTTATGTCAAGGATGATGAGCATGCTGAGGCTTTGGCTGTTTTTGAGAAAATGAAGGTTGCGGGCCCAAAGGCGAACGAGGTAACTATGGTGAGCGTTTTGTGTGCTTGTGCTCATTTAGGCGCACTTGAGCAAGGTAGGGCGATGAATCGGTATATGAAAGAGAATGGCTTGCCGATTACTTTGCCGTTAAGGACGTCGCTTGTGGACATGTATGCCAAATGCGGGGCAATAGAGGAAGCATTAGTTGTCTTTCGTGGGGCTGGAACGAAGGAAACTGATGCATTAATTTGGAATGCCATGATTGGAGGGCTTGCAACACATGGATTTGTTAGAAAGTCACTTGACATGTTTACGGAAATGCAGATTGCAGGGATATCCCCGGATGAGATCACATACTTGTGCTTGTTGAGTGCTTGTGCTCATGGAGGGTTAGTGAATGAAGCTTGGCATTTCTTTGAGTCTCTTAAAAAATGTGGCATGATACCTAAGAGGGAGCATTATGCTTGCATGGTGGATGTTCTGGCACGCGCAGGTCATTTAACGGAAGCATACTATTTCCTTTGTCAAATGCCAATGGAACCAACTGCTTCAATGTTAGGTGCGTTACTCAGCGGATGTATGAACCACAGGAGATTGGATCTAGCAGAAATAGTGGGAAAAAAGCTTATCGAATTGGAGCCAGATCATGATGGTAGATATGTTGGTTTATCAAATGCTTATGCAGTTGGGAAACGCTGGGATGAAGCAAGAATTATGAGAGAAGCCATGGAGAGGAGAGGGGTGAAGAAGTCACCTGGGTGTAGTTTTGTGGAGATATTTGGAGCCCTTCACAGATTCATTGCTCATGATAAAACTCATCCAAAGTCAGAACAAATTTATTTGATGCTAAACCTTACTGTAAGACAAATGAAAATTGATGCAGATACGGAAACACAAGAATATTGTTCCTATGATGTTAAAGATATGTGAGTGGCATGCTCTTTATCCAAAACGCTTACCGAGTTTTTCCAATATAAGTTACTTAGAATGGCTTGTTTTTATTCTGAAAAAATTAATTGGTCTTCCAAATAGTCTTCTACAAATACTATAATTATTTTTCTGTAGTTGTGTACTAAAGCAAGGGAATGATTACGGTAATTTGATCGGTCTCACATAAAATTAGTGCAAAATTTGGTGATGTTTTAACTTAATCTTCTAACAATTTGGGTTAGTTTGTAATGCAAGGGTTACATTACCACTAAAATTAGTTGGGATTAATCCCAAATGTTATTATTGATTTCAACATTTTAGGATGGATTCCAAACAACTTTATTTTTTTGATAATTTCGGCAGATCGAGTCTTCACTTTAACGAGACCACTCCATGGAAATTTTGGGCATCCTATCACTCAAAACATACAATGAAGATTAACTTAGATGACTAGTGAGTTACAAAGCGTAAAATTACTGAAATACTATTGGTTTGAGGATCTTACATTCAGATTTTGAAAAAAAGAAGCAAATACTTTCATAGCCTTGTTCAACCCCCTTCGAGGAATCCCTCATCTTTCTTCCCTATGTCTAATATATAATACAAAAACTCATCTGCTGCAAACGAAACAACAAGCACTGGTAGGCAAAAGTATAGCTAATGATGATAAATCAAGTCTACAAGGTTACCCACATAGCCCCGTGTTTAGTAATACATAAATGCTCAAAATATATTTAGGGTGCGTTTGGATGATAGGGTTAGACTCGATTGGAGATCTAAAAAAATATTATTTTCTATCTAATCCAAATCCACCTATCATTGGACTGGTAAGGATTTAATGACTATACCCTATCATTTCGAGTATTTGGATATCAAATAGGCACTTCTGTGGGACCTATAGAAAAGGGTGATGGAATATAGTCATATTGATTATTTTGTCCCTAACCTATCCAATCTAACACCATATTTTGTTTATAAATTAGCCTTTGACCAATTCCAAACAAAATTTTATTATATGTAATTTTTAAAAATGTTATAATTTCATATCCTCTAGACTGGTGTTCACATGTTTTGAGAATTATTGAGAATTAACTCAAACTATTATTAATTAATTATTTTATTATTAGTTGTTAATTAATCTTAGTCCAAATAGGATATTGCTTTATTAGAGTTAGTTTATTATTTAAATTAGTTGTCTTGTTGGAGAAGATGTCTTCGTCTTCTTGAGGAATGTCAGCATAGGCTTGCTTTGGCAAACAAATTTGTCAAAAAAAAAAATCAAATTTGTGAAAAAATAGGAGGAGGAGATGAAGCAGACAAGAGAGAAGGAGAACAAAATAGGGCAATTCAAACATTTACATTAGTTATCCTGTTTGGTAAAAAAAAAAACCCAGCCCCTCTTGAGTTTCTATGACACCTCTAAAATCGGGGATCCTTTATCGACCCGTTGATTACCCATCAACCCGTGAAAGTAATCGTGAATGCCACATAACTCGACACCACATCATAACATCCCCTTCACCGGGATCATAAATAACGTAGAGTTTGGGCAGAGTCTCCCTTGTACTAGGCGCTTTCAAAATCATAATCTGTCTACAGTTTAATCACTTGACCATTCCAAGGTCTAATATACATCAATTTGTCCTAAATATTACTCCATGTACACACCTTGAACAAAGGACTCAACGACCGAAAGCTTGGAAAATTATTTTAAATTTTTGAAAATTTTGGAGGAGCTACTGGTAGCTTGTGTACGTGCTACCGATAGCTGAGTTCTCTGGAATTCTGCTACTGGTAGCTCAAGACTTGTCACATGCGCACAATTTTTCCCCAATTCAAGCATTTTTCAATTTTAACTCATCCAATCTCATACAATATCAAATTACACTCAAAATGTAGTCCACAAATTTAAACAATATTACATGTCCAAGAACTCATTACGTAATTGTTTTACAAAAATGTAATCTAAAGCCACAACTTGGCTTCCTTCATCAACGAGGACCCAAGTGAGAGTCATCCACTGGCGTTTATCCTACACCTAAAATATTGCCCCCATAAAGTGTGAGCCATTCTCAATAGAGTATCTTCTAAAGAGGCTACTCTCCAACCTAACAAGCATTCATCCAAGAACATAAAACTTCAAGAATGAATGTTATAATGTCATGCCATGTTATGAGGTGGGACTCACACATGCAACGAAACCTGGCCTTCATCGGCTCTCATAACACATGCAATACCATACGTATGAATCCGAATATTCCAAGAACTCACCATTGATGTTACACATCTAATGACCATTTATAAATCTCGGGACTTTCTTGGGGTGGGTATTTATGGACTTCCACTAACGGGCACCCAACCGACACGGTATTTATGGACTTTCCCTAATGGCTCTACATATGCCGACACACTTTGTGGACTCAATACCAATGGAGTGCGTATCCAAATCACTGGACCTTGCACCCGAGAGACAATCTAGTCATTCTTGCTAACCTCGACCTTATTTTCAATGCAACCCGAGCAACTTAATCGAACCTTGGTCCAACTTTCTCGAGTCCATGCATCATTGCTTGATAAATTTCCTTGTAGTTTCCTAACTTTTAAACATCACCTTTTAGCGTGTATAGTTTATGGACGAAGGAGAGTGTCATTCTCCTATGGGTGATGTCAAAAGAAAGGGCAAGGAGATGGTGGAATATGAACTGTACAAAATGTGAAGTGTAAATGCACAAAAAGTGTGTGTGAGTACAAAAGTGCTCCCCAGGCGCAAGGAGACTTTTCCGGGTTATGTTTTACTTGGTGGTATTCTAAGGTCGTTTCCACGAGGAAGGAAGTAAACTGAGGGGAAGGTGGTTTTGGGAAGAAGAAAGTGTAAAATCTTTGGTTGTTGGAAGTTGTTTGGTGAAGTTTGTTTTGATACTAATAAAATGAGAAACAAATGTTGGCAAATTCAAGAGGTCACTCCAATAGGAATACCGTCTCAACTTGAAACCCTCCTCCAATGGAGTATGGCAATGGTTGGACAACCGGGGTCTTTGAATTTTGGAGGAGTGTTAGCCCTCAATATTGAGCTCACTTGTTCGGTGAGGAATGCTTTCTTGTGGATATTCATTCTCCTCTTCACCGTGCATAGATCTTTCAAAATTTTTGCACAAGATGAGATTTGCTTGATAACATCGAGGAGTGGAATGTTAATCTTCACCAACTTAAACATTTCCAAAATATCAGCATAATTAGCCACCTTGACAGGTGGCTTCAAACGACTAGGAAACGGGGCAGGGATGGTAGGAACAAACACGCATTCATCAATCGATTTTTCTTTCTCAACTACCTCTCTCTCTTTTTCTCCACTCACCTCACCCTTGTCGGTGTCACATAAGGTTTCTTTTCCATTTGGCAATGTGGTCTTAGGTGAGGTCTTTGACAAAATGGTTTTGTCAATTTCTTTGCCACTACGAAGGGTGGTGACAGCTTTGAGTTGCTTGCAACTCTCTCTCAAAGGCTCCAATGACTCAACAACGTGTTGACCCCTAGAGTTCTTTTGTGGTTGAGCGGGGAATTTCCCCTTTTCTTGTTGAAATGCCCCTAAGGAGTTTGTCAACTTTGTGAGTTGGGTTCTTATATCATTGATGGTTGTGACATTTTGGTTATTGATGGCGATTTGGCTTTGAATGAAGGAATGGACTATGTCCTCCAAATTTCTTTGTGAGGAGGTTGGTATGTGGATGGATTGGACGGTCCTTGAGAAAAACTTTATGGTGGTGGACTTGGAGAAAAATTTTGTGGTGGCAAGTTTGACTAATACCCTTATGGATTGGTCCTTGGGTATTACGAGCTAGATGCTTGCCCTTGGCCATGATATTGGTTTTGCTTGGAAGGCACGGGAGATGAATATGCACTTGAGCCATGAGGAATGTGGTTCTCATTTCTCCAACTGAAATTTGGGTGATTACTCCACCCCAGATTGTAGGTGTTTGAATTGAGAGAAAATGATTGCCTTGGCTGGTTGAATGCATGGACTTGTTCATGATATGCTTCCTTAAGGGCTGGAATGTTAGGACATTCCGAAGTGGAATGCTCCACACTCTTACAGATTACATATCCCTCCACAATGTTAGAAACATTAGACATTTCATGTCTCCGATTGACTTCAAGACTCTCAACTTTCCTTGACAGTTTAGCAATTTTTGAAAGTAAGTCTTCTTGGTCTCTCAAATCATATATCCCTCCCCCTTGTGGTTGACTATTACCCGAGGATGTCCTAGGTACATCATTGGGATCCCTAATGTCCCAAGATTGTGCATTTTGGGTCAGTGTACTAAAGTAGTCCAGGGGCTCATTAGGGTCTTTGTTCAAGAACTCACCATTGCACATCATGTCAATGAATTGTCTATGGCTTGGTGTGATTCCTTCGTAGAAGAAACTTACCAGTTTCCATGATTCAAAGCCATGGTGTGGTATGGATTGTAGCAAATCCTTGTAGCGATCCCAGTATTGATAAAATTGCTTATTAGGCTTCTCAGAAAAATTTTGAATTTCCTTTTTTAAAGCAGTGGTTCTATGAACGGGAAAAAATTTGTTCAAAAATTTAGAGAGCATTTGAGCCCAAGAGGTAATGGATCGAGGTCGCAAGGCATACAACCATGATTTGACTTTATCACTGAGGGAGAAAGGAAACAATTTCAGTCGAGCTATCTCCTCCATAGCATAGTTAGCATTGAAGGTTGCAACTATATCCTCAAACTCCCTTATGTGCAAGTAGGGATTTTCCTTTTCAATACCATGGAATGTAGGAAGTAGTTGCAACATCCTTGACTTAACTTGGAAAAGATGAGCTTGGACCGGTAAATGGATGCAAAGAGGGTGTAGTGCTATGGGTTGGTTAAAGGAAAGCCCTCATAGACCTTGTCGGAGGGTCCATTGGGATGTTATTCCCTTCATTCACGGGTGGGGGATATTACATCCGTAGGTTAGGCATTCTAGGTTCGGGAACTCCCCCA